TGCATCAAGGACAGAGTTTTGGTCAGTTGGATTGTAAAGTATTACGATATTATTTACGCATAGATTACAAACATAAAACTGTAAATATTATTTTAACAACTACATACAATATTTCTATATCAATTGAAGAGAAGCTAACAAAAAAAGGTAGTATCCAACAAATGTGTTTGCATTTCATTTACGGACGGTAAAACACAAGCACGTCGTTGGCCGCTCAACTACACCAAAAAAAATTGGTAAAAAAGTGAAAAGAAAAACACAACTGGTCGATCGGTTTTCTATCTTTCCATGCTGCGCGCCACCAGTTTCCAATTTGCCTAAAAGCTTCTGCAAGTGGTGACAGGGCGCATCTAAAACGACCCGGCTTAATTTATTTCCCCATCCGTACCGAAAATAGAAAAAGGTTTGCGAGTCGATTTTCTAAAAAACACGTACAACACACTTTGAAATCGTATCAAAATCTCTCTTCATCGCGGTCATAGCAAAATTCACACCACGCAATCCTCATGATTTGATTTCTATCGATATGGAGGTAGTAGTAATAATAGATGTTTGAAACTCGTGTGGAGTGGATTTTCGGCTGAAACCGCGTCGATAGCAATAACTAAAAGCGGATCCGGTCGATATTGCAATGAAATGCGGTCGGATCGGGTGTTGGATAATCGGATCTAGTTAACAACAACCCCGGCGTGGTGACGTCAAGTGGAGACCCCAAAATCCGCGTTTGAAAACGATATAGGGGACTGAAAACCGTGTTTACTCGGGAAACCTCTAGTGGCTCGACGGGAATCCGTTTTCCGACGTCCTCGAGAGGGTGTTGTGCCCTCACGCGTTTTTTCCATTCCTTTTTGGTTCTTTTTATCGCGTTCCTCTTATTTCAACCACGAAATGAGATTTATACGAGTTTTCAACCAACAGGAAATGTGCTAACTCACTAAAATATATTATATCGATATATTTAACAATTTAATATAGATAATGAAAAAAGAAATAACGTTAAGTTTAAACAACAAAAGTAAAAAGCTAAGAGAAATTGCAATTTCCGCCTTAAAAGCGGTAGAAATCTGCTGTTAAAACGCCAATGTATACTTGCCAGGAAGACGTAAGCTTGGCTGCGGCAGCATATTTGCTTTGGCTCATATATCGCTCTGTAGGTAAATAGGACGTGCCCTCGTGATCCAGACCCATTCTGTTGATACTGCAGGTTGTCTTAACACGGATGCTATGTTATCTAATCCATCTCAGTTACCTACCTCAATTTTAACCGTTTAATATTTCGCTTGGCGAGTTTCGAAATTACTATTAGTCGAGAAACTCTTATTATTGTTCATGGTTTCAAGAGAGGAATAGAGAACTCCAATAATAATTAATCTCGATATCTAGAGGATCCACCGTGTGAGCATCAGCGATGAAGAAGGGTATTATACCCTGAGCGATCCGGGCAGGATAATTATCGGTCGTTCGTAGCTGGGGAGTTCGAAAGTGGCCCGAACAAGGGATTTAATTTTCCGGTAACGAGTTCGTCCGTGCGCAGTCAAATCCCGATACAATTTTATTATCCCGAGTAAAGGAAGAGGCGCTTTGTAGAGCTGCGAGATTTCGATTGAAAAAATTTAACTCTAGGACATTGTCTATTGAGTGCACGGTCCATTTCCGAGGATAATTGCTCATGGAAAAATGTAGAGTTTGTCCTGGAAAATCCAATTTTATACTGATTTAACTTTGAAAATGTTACTTTTATGTAAAACGTTTAAAAATTTAGATTAAATCACATAAATTGCGTATATTGTTAAAGGCCATTTCTCTTTGATAAATTCAGATACCTGTGATGTTGGATAATGAGGGATTATTCCAGGAATTAACCTCGCTGAGCCGACGTAACAACATTTTTGTTTTTTATTTGGACTAAACTTTGGCAAAAAAAGTTGTAATCGAACGCAGTTTGTAACATGAATGGTGATTTGTTGTTAATTTATTTTATTTTAAATCATTTTTATAATATAATTGCTCATGACATATATTTTGTGAAACGTCTTTGAAAACAATCCGGGTCTATGGCAATATTATCTTTTCATTAGATCGTATAGAGGGAAATATAGGGGGTTGGTGATGTTGTAACAAAGACCTGGGAAACTCCCGAAGGGATTCCGTTCGATGTGGAAGCTCAATCATTATTCCATTCGGATTCCCGACGCGTTCGAGATGATCTTTGACAAGATTAATCCCGAAGGATCCACCTACTTTATTGGCCAATGCCAGGACTCTCTATAATCCAAAGTCCCCGTCGTAGTTAAACCACGCATGTATGTCATGTTTGATTGAAGGGGTTTTAAAACTATTAAAAAAAGGTGAGTATTCAATTACTTACCTTTTTTTAGATACCTTAAAAGATTTTATTAAGAGTACATTTTATTTATTTTTCTTTTGTTAAATAAATTTACATCGTTCGTTTTTAATTCTTATTGCAGATATTTCAAAATTTTTCCATGTTCGACACAGTCATTAAAAATACGCGGAGCAAATTCAATTCCTATTATTAAAGCTTTACAATCATCGATTTTTAACGATTGGCAGCAGGATAAATGAATTGATTTTCCGGCATCTTTCATTAAATCTCTATAATAAAAAACAAATAAATTTATTTAAAAATTAAAACTTATTTCCTTACCTTTTCAAAGCATTTGTATCTTGAGAAATTAAAATAAAAATTAGATTCAAAAATAAAGATAATTTTATCTTCATAATTAACAGTTTTAAAAGAATCAAATAAAAACGTACTCTCCTACATTATCCACGAATAATTGGTCGTTTACAATGCTTGCTTATCGATTTTATGTCTGTTATGTATTGAATATATTGCGTGTAAGTGGGCGTTTTATGTACAGAACGTTCAAAAATATTTAAAAATAAATGTTTGTATAAAATGTTTACACGTTAAATGTTTACAAAAAAAGAATGTGCGAATAATATTAAAAATGGAAGAACTCAACGTTTCAAAAAATCCCCAAGTTCTAGATGCTCAACAGCGTATCAAACAGTTGCAGAAAATTTTATTTTTATGCATTGTACAATTTACTCGTAGCGAAACGTATTCCCAAAGAATTTAATAATGTCCAAGCTGTGCTATATAAAAACTCGAGTAGCAGAGACTATATTCAGTTGTATCATATAGAAATGAGATGGCTTTCAAGTGGAAACCTGTTTATTCGAGTTTTTAAATGAAATTGTTAGGTGCAAATATTTCTTATGGAAATTAATTTTGATTTGCATGATTGTTTCTGTAAGTTATTTGAAACACGGAACGAGGCTTAAAGCCAAATAATATATTTTCTTTTAGTTGCGCTATGTCTCCCATTTTCCGTCACTTGGTAGCAGTCGTTAAGGGTCTAGCTTCTTGGATTTATGGCTTTCTTAATTAGAATGACATTCAGGAACTCAAAATTATTTATGACACAGATTCAATCTATATTGATCTGAATTCATCTATATACCTACTCAGCAAATGCAACAACCATACAACGAATTGTTTGCAAAATTAAGTCCAATGTGAGGTTCGCAATTGTTTACGCTTGACCATGATATTGGCCTATTGACAAGAATAAGTTGCCAGACTTGCTGGATTTCAAAACTGAAAGCCAAAGTGAATTAACATCTGACCACATCTCAGTTTTATTAATCCTAAGTACATCACTCATCAAAAAAGCAATGAAACTAAATGTTACTAGCAAATATACTGATTGAGAATAAAGATCATCTTGAGGTTCAGGCTCAAAATCTTGTAGAACAAATTCAAGTAGCTGCATAGGAGGAAAGCCAGAACATGTAGCAACAAGTATTTGAAGAGTAAAAATACTGTTCTGCAGTTTTTCTGGACATTTCACAATGTTTGGAACAAGATCAACATTTAAACCGATCTTGACTGGAGTTTTACAAGGTAGTGTCTTCGTATCTACTATATACTACAGATATTCCAATTTGAGCAGATTTGATTCAAAAGCACTGGTTAGTCTGTAGATGCTTTAAAAAAGAATCTTTAAAGCAGTCATAAGTGGTATAAGTGAAGAACTTTTGAAAGATTCAATAAAAAGTAGTTTGTGACACATTGTTAATTTTACAAAATAAAATATATTTTACAACATCACTTTGATGGTTAATTATGGGTAATTTATAAAGAGAACATCCTATAATTGTACGAGGAGGAGTCATCCACTTAACCGGAAATGCCTTTACAGTACCCCTGGTTTCGCTGACTAAACTTTATTCGGAACCTAAGGGGCGTGTCTCTGCCTCTCGGCATTCGTACTCGAAGGGTAGTTTCTGGTCAAGTGGCGATTCAGACCTCTGGTGGCGTATTTAAAGTGTTCCTTGTTCGAAGAGAGTGTATTATAAAAAGTGAAATAAAATAATATTAATAAAGAATACAAAAAAGAATCGAAAGTTCAAGATTATGTAATAAATTTGTCAACAAGAGGGTGTTTTGTTTTTTTTTTTCGATGATATCAACTAAATATTAGCTTGTAAAAGTGGTGGTCGAAATCTGGAAGATCTAGCGGTATGTAATAAGTGGTATATCGTGGAGGAGAAAATAGGTACCTTAAGTCAAACGTAATGTTGCCTTTAACTCAGTGTAACGTCGAGGATAATTGGTGTAATTAACTTCAATACCTCGTCGTACGTCAAGTTCTCTGAGGTTGAGTTTCGTTTTATTACAGCCCTTAACCATGCAATTTGATAAGAAAAAAATAACCGAACTTGTGATTTAAAACATTTTGTTTAGACGAAAAAATGAAAAAGAAGATTATTAAAAATTGAAGTTTACAAAAATGTAGAATAAAATGTTATAAATAAGATACAAATACCATATCAAGAATCTCTACAATCTTTAATGTTGATTAATCATTTACTTGATTAATTATGTATTTATATGCAGAAGTCATGTTTACTATGTGTCTAACATCACGCAATGGAGAACAGAAAAAATTTTAAAAAAGAAAAACAAATTTGATCGGTTGATTTATATATTTTTAATAACCTAACATCATCATCATCAATATTCCGATCGGAACATATACACGTCAAATACAGACTTAATTTTTACAATCGTTTTTCGCGATAATTTTCTTTTTTCAATAGTCACGTATGTACACCTGTAAAATACTAATATACAAAAAGAACTAAGAATAATCTTTTCACCGATTAGAAGACGATAGAATGTGAAAAATTAACTTAAAGATCATCCTTCGGAGTTCATTTTTTCTTATTTTTTACATTTTTGGAAGAAAAAAACACTTTCTCTCCTTTTTTTATTCTTAAGGGTTTAGGCGACACTAAAAAGTCTCTTATTTGTTACAATCGAGTTTTCTTTGTATTAAAAAGAAGAAATCGCTCACTTTGCACGTTGACTTTTCACTTGTTTTTCGATTGCGATCGTCGATTTCCTTTATTTTCTGTTTGTCTACTTCCGTTGGCGTAGATTAACTGGTCCACTGGTGTCTTCTCTGTAGCAAGAGTAATACTGTCGCGGCTAACAGAAGATTTATTTGGATTGTTGGCAACTTTACACCTAAAACAAAATTAAATGTAAGAAAAAAAATATTTTAAGTAAATCTCCAAATATAAATAATTAAAATATAGTAAAATATCGATATAACGAACCTCGTTAGAACGGACAAAATATTTTCATAGATAAATTCGAGGTATTCCCCGAATTGTCTGAAGACGCACGGCTAAATCCGAAACTTTGTAGTTGTAGGTATATTGTTAGTGGTAGTTTTAATTGTTATTCAGCACTAGGTTGTTCTATATTTTTATTGAATTAAAAGAAGAATTAGTACTAAACCTAAAACTAGAAGCATTCGGGTTTAGCCATCTTAAGAGATGTACGGCTGCACCCGAATGTTTCTAGTTCTAGATCTAGTGATAGTTCTAGTGGCAGTGTCAGCTCTAGTTTAAATGTTGACTCAGCGCTAGATTGTTGTATATTTTTATTGGACTAAAACTAGAACTAACACTAGACCTAGAACTAGAACTAGAATGTTTCTAGTTCTAGGTCTAGTGTTAGTTCTAGTTTTAGTTGTTATTCAGCACTTGATTGTTGTATGTTTTTATTGAATTAACACTAGAGTTATAACTAGAAACATTTGGGTTTAGCCGCACGTCTTTTAAGACGGCTAAACCCGAATGATTCTAGTGGTAGGTCTAGTGTTGGTTCTAATGCTAATGTTAGTTCTAGTTTTAGTTGTTATTCAGCACTAGATTGTTGTATGTTTTTAGTGAACTAACACTAGAGCTATAACTAGAAACATTTGGGTTTAGCCGCACGCCTTTTAAGACGGCTAAACCCGAATGATTCTAGTTGTAGGTCTAGTGTTAGTTCTAATGCTAGTGTTAGTTCTAGTTTTAGTTGTTATTCAGCACTAGATTGTTGTATGTTTTTATTGAACTAACACTAGAATTATAACTAGAAACATTTGGGTTTAGCCGCACGTCTTTTAAGACGACTAAACCTGAATGATTCTAGTTATAACTCTAGTGTTAGTTCTAATGCTAGTGTTAGTTCTATATCTAGAGTGTTAGTTCTAATTTTAGTTGTTATTCAGCGTTAGATTGTTGTATATTTTTCATTAAACTAAAACTAACACTAGACCTAGAACTAGAAAGTTTCGGGTTGATCCTTGCATCTTCAGACGCACGACTAACTCCCTTCCCCATATTAATCGAAATTTACTGTAATTATATTCCATTGTTTGCTTTTAAAGTTAACGTAATAGTATTAAAATTTAATTGAAGTATTTTTAATATGTTAAAACTAATCAAGTTGAAATATATCAGATTAGAAGGTCGCTGGAGATGGATTGTTGGATGACCATCAGGACTCCGGCACCTGTCCTCGATTCCCGAGGGAACGACGTTGACGTAATTGAATCGCGGCCGTTACAATGCGAGCCAAATTATACTCCGCCATTAATCTTGCATGGCGATGACGTCATTAGCGCAGATTTACTATTAATTCGGACGAACGTAACTTGGTGGCGGAAAACGAAAATCTGATTACAACTAGGCGCGAGATTCGCAGTCGCGCTACAACCGACGATGACGTCAAAACACTATTTGGAGCTCTCTCTGAGTTTTCCGCTGAATTAAATTTTCCCCACGAAACCAAGGATTATCGACAGCAACATTGCAAAAAATTGCAATTAAAAGCGGATTACCAACCGGCGCACCGGTTTAAAAGTGGTCTGTTTCAGCAAGATTCGATGAGGTCTGTTTAGAACGCTAAGCTGTTTTAATGATTTTCGTTTATAACATCATTAATAAATGCCTTTTTTTGAGGAATCGGCCGATAAGTGGAAAAGTTAAATATTTTATTGCCAACTTGTTGAACATACGCTTCAAAAATGAATAAAATTTAAATTTCGAGAGATACTTAATTTTAACACAATTATACATCAAATAATGTGAAATATATCAACCAATAAATAAGTAGCCTACAATAAAATTTCATATTAAACTCAAAATTTAATTTTACGGTATAAATAAATTTGTGAATACGTATTAATTTCGGTATACTCGTTCCGATTTGTCAATTGAATTTTCCGGGATTTGTAATTGACCGGATGGTTTCCAAATAGAAATTATTTAACGACTAATTAACAGACGCAAAATAAAATGAATACAAAAAGGTTACCTACATTTCTCTTTTAATAGTATTACCTCAATTATAAATAATGACAGTCCATCGACAAAATATATGATATTACATCAAAGCCTATTTTTAATTAATTTTTTTTTTGCTCATTTTTATTCCCTTTGAAAAATATTTCAACCAGTTGAGACTACAGTATTAATTCGAAACAGCAAAAAATACGATTTATACGTTGGCGTTTCCAAGCGAAGAAATTAATTCTTTAAACAGCTTTTATTGAATTTCCCGACGCGCTCTGTGTTTTTCCGAGACATCGTATGCCAGTTTTTCTTAATGGTTTAGTATCCACGATTTATTATTACATCCACCCGCGATTCCTTGGGAAATAATACACACGCTTTTTCCTCTTCTCGCTTCTCGTCAGATTTTCACAAACACAAAAACAATTCGTTTCAGAAATTCATAACTCTCGAAATACAGCTTATTAAAAAATAATATGAAGTAGGGAAATGCCTACTCATCTCTCAACATTTTTTATTATTCATTTTTATTCTCCGAAACAATAAAATTTATGCACAGCTTATTACTAAATTCTTTTAGGAAAAATGAAATGTAAATTTATAATTTTCATTTGATAAAATTCTTTCTATTTTTACTTTAATAAAGCAAATTTTTTCTTCTTGTCCAGTAGTAATCTTAATTAATTTAATCTAAATTCATTTTTATTTTATAAATAAAAGTAACATTTTTAAAACTTACCATTTATGCTGTTCCCCATTAAAAGTACGGAGGCAGGTTGTGGCGTATCCGGTTTGACCTCAACTTCGATGCTGTTCGCTCTGTACAGTCGAAAGAGCGTGGCCTCGCATCTCAACCTAATGGTGCCCCAACTGCCCCCAACTCCAGTAAGCTCAAGCTTACTGGAAGCCGTCTCCAAGAGATCAGCGTCCGTCGTCACGTGAGACGAAGTCGACCCGGGCACCTGAAGGGAAACACTCCGTTTAAGTAACTTGATTAATCCAGTAAAATGACGTCAAAGTTTCCACCAAATTTACCATCTACCTCCAAAATATTATTAAACCTTCACCAAATTGAAACGAAAGAAAACAACCTAACTTTTAAAATTAAAAAAGTTATTTTTTTAAAATGATTGTAAAAAATGTTATTTGTCTTAGGCCCACTTTTACCACCTCCTGATAAATTTATCCGATAGATAAATCCAGTTCTTAGCCAATGAGAGCGCTTAAAATCGCCGTAACCATGGCAACTATCCTCTAGATAGTTTATCAGGAGGATGGTCTTAGTGTTTTAAAATAGCTAAATAAAATTGTGTTTATTTTCGATTTTAACTTCTACTATTCATGCAAACTCCGTACGTAAATATCGATGGAAAAGAGAAAAATGTTAGGTCGTTCGTCGAACTCTAGAGACCAAGGCGCGCGTTTAGAAATGTAAATTTCATCGTTGGTGGTCTTCCCAGAAAGCAAACACATCCCTCGGCTCGATATTGTGCCTGTTTCCCCGCAGGAGGAGGTCCTGCGGTTAGCCTTCCAAATAAAATATGTTAACATTAAGTGCGGTTCCAACGTCGCCGTCCTCTTTTGGCCAATGAAATCAAGTTTAAACCTTCCAGTTTCCGATCTTTTATATTCTATAGCCTGTTTACTGTGGCTTCTATCGTAAATTGAATTAGGGGTAAAGTTCTTATTATTAAGGAGGAAATATAAATTGGCCATTTTAAAAAATAAATATCATAAATATAAATTGGAATATTTTCGGAAAATATCAAAAATAACTAACTCAAATTTTATTTCAAGAAAAAAGATTAAAATTCAACACACATAATTGCAGATTGAAAGAGTTCTGTCTGAACGTAACATCAAATCAATTTATGTTAAAACAACCTAAGTTACTAAAAGCTGTAGTTGCTAAGTATTGCGTTGACTTACAATCCCATCTTCGTTAAGACTTTTCAATTCAGGTTTCTGACCATGACCAATATCATATGCAGATTTATGGTCCGAAGATCTATTTTGTAATATCATTTTATCACGTTGGCGAGTCCTTAAATTGCTGCTGTGGCCGAGCTGCAAACATTTGACATGTGTTATTTGTAGTTAATTCTCTGATCTATATTCACCCACAAATGCTTCATCGTCCTTTTACTTTTTATGTTAAATTGGTGTTTCTTAGAGAAGTTTTTTCCATAGCTAGGGGTCATTTTATTGGTTTTGCACCATTGTAGTACTTGACATGAAACTTGACCAAAATGCAGCTTGAAAAGGTTTTCTGCCAAGCTCCCTTTCAAATTCACGTACTCGTCCTGGTAGTAGTTCTTTATTATTTTTAGAAGTTTACAAGGACTTTTACGTCTTTTAGTTTCTCAAGAAGCGCTGGCTACTAAAGCTGCCAAGACATATTTATAATTCGATTCCATGTCTATGTTACTTTACACAATATATTCCTGATTTATTCTTTACGAGTATAATTTTGATGAAATAAGTATAATATATATTTTGTATATTACATCTTATTGCCATTTTGCCATATTTATATTTTTGACACCAATCTGGTTCTCTAAAACTAATTGGATAACACGATTTCGTTGTTGGTGATCATTAAGCATAGTTAGTAGCTCATTAAAAGTCATGCATTTTCCAACATTTGCTAATGCCAAAAATTTGTAATCTCCTCGGTTTCACCAGAATGATACAAAATTTTTTTTTGAATTCTGTTAAATTAAATTTTAAAGAAAAACCGAAATTATCCGAAGTAAAAAAAATGTAGATGTAAAAGAGAATATAGTAACAGAGTTGGGGGGGTTGACCATTTCTCTAAAGGCGGCTTGCACAAAAGGATTTATGGCACTTTCCGGGGGTACGTGTTAATGGAAAAGAAGACAGAGTGCACTCTGTTGCGTTCCAGTTTTCACGTGAGCTGCAGTTTTTTTTAGCCATTTTTTGTTACTTCCTTTTTTGACAAATTTGCGCCAACGGTAACGGGCGCGTCGCGACGCCGGCGCCGTTCCCTGGCGGACCTCAATTTATATTTACACGCGTCAGGGTAAGTGATGGGGCGTCCAGCAGCCACCACGATAAAAACCGAAAACTGCCTGGAAAAATGTACCCCAACGAAATTGATGACAGAGAATTTTCGACTTTTTTATCTTGCTTACTTTCCCAAACAAAATGTTGTAATTTCTTTTTGCGGTCGGTCATATCAAAAACTATTTTTTGGATTATACTTATCTTTGTAAGCTTAGACTTTGAACAAAGGTGTTAAGCGAGGCGAAAATAGAGCAGTAGAGCGGTAATATACGAAATGATCAAAAGGAGAAAATGGAAAGACCCGACGCGTTGCAACTAGAAGCAGTAGACAGAGAGACTCTGAAACATAATTTCGAGTCGTGCACAAGTTTACGCAGGTATAAGCTTTTCTCTGTATCAAGCTGACGAATCAACTTGTAGTACCATCTTCTCTCGTTCGAGTCTTTGAAGAGGCGGATATCGACTCGCTAATTACACTTACTACCCGTGTACGACGACGATGTTCGCCCTCTTTGTCGTTTTCAAATTCCGCTTTAGTTCCACCTTCATTTCGTATTAAACTCTGAATTATTATTAATATTGGCTCGGGTGTATATACTCCACGTGTACCGTATACAAAAGTTGCGCAACCTCTCTAAAATCAGATTCAAAATTGCATACGAAAGAGATTTCGATTATTTCATAATTTCGTTACGTTCTTTTAAGCGATGAAAATTGAATTGGATCATTAAAATGTGTAATTATTACTTCAATATGGATTTGTTGAAAGGCGACTTCCCGTTGACGAAAATGAGAAAACTTCCTAGAAACCGATGCAATTTTACGTGGAACGTTTGAAAGCGCAAAACGAAATGCAAAAATTGGCCACGAAGGGAAATGAAGAATATTTAATTTAACGGTTAGTAAATGTGAGCGAAACTTCGGGTGTACGAAAAGCTTGTGAGCTTAATTTGCCGTGTTTCGAACGAGTTCGTTCGGTTAAACATCGTTTAGGCGTGCTGTTTTCGATGGTTTTACGAATAAACCCTAAATGTACTGTTGAGTACCTAACGAATAATACTTTTAAAACCTCGATTTAAAGGACCTCGTTAGGACGAATGAAATATTTTTAAATTATACTATTAATATTATCTATTTAATGCATTAGTATGTTTAAATTTTAAATATAAATATTAACGCTTATAGATAGAATGCAAATAGGGTTAAATTCGAAAAATTTTCGATTATTTCAAAATTTATTTCTCAAAAACTAAAAGCGATTTTTCAAAACGGCTTGTTGCATTAAAAAGAGGATACTTTAATTAATAATTGGTGATATTTCCACAAGGATCCTTCAAGAAATTAATTTTATAGCGAATTTTGAAAATTATCGATGAAAATTGCAACATCGAAAATTTTATCAAAACTTCAAATATTGCCAACATTACTT